TCTTTTCTGTTTCATTTTTTTTTTTTTTTGGTCTTCTTTTTTTTGTTTCTTCATTTTTTTATAACAACTTTTTACATTTGCGTCATCATACTTCCGATAAAGTATTTTAAAATTGTAATTTTCTTCTACTAAATTAATATCAAATATAGAAAAATTATAAACTCTCAAAGAAAGAATATAATACGCTCGGATGGAATATCAAAAGACTCCTCAATATATCGCTAGTCTCCTCTCTTTGTGTGGGTGAAAATCTGCCCACACTGCCCGTTTAGTGATCAGCTGGAGAGCACAAGCAGAATAGATGGCTAAAGTAACCTGAAACAGAAAGAAAAAGCTCCGGCGGTGGTTCTTCCACCCGGGGGCACTCCGACGATCAAGTCAGTATATCTCTCAAAGATAATCAAGTACTAAATTGAATACTCAAAGTATAAGTTACATACCTTAGACCCATGGGGGTGCCTCTCTTTTATAATATACTCAATCCAAGTCCCACTAGAAGTATGACTTCTATGAATTCTAGTTCACTGTTTACTCTGGACTCTTTTAAGTGATACAGATAAACTCCTTGAAAGTTTTATCCTTATCTTAATTCAGTCCCCTTTGTGCCTTAGGACTCTTGCCCCATATCTCGGATTCCGATATCTTCGGAGATGACCTCGGCTTCTCCGAAATTACCTCGGCTTAACTACCAGGGCACGTGGCACCTCGGCTGACACGTCGGCGTCACCATGCCACGTGTTGGTATACAGAAAATATATCCCCACAACAGAAAATACTTAATTGTCACAAAATAATAAAAAATTAGACTTGTAATTGAGTTCTATGCTTTAAACATACTAATGATTTCCTTAGAGGTAAAATAAAGAAGAAATCTAAGAAAAGATAATTGAATTTGTATTAATAAACTAAAATGTCACTTGCCACAAATTACATGAACTTAAACAAGAATAAAGAACTAATCACCATGTACAAGTTATATTAGATGGATTTGGGGTGGTTGCTGTGCGGAGTGCACAGTAACTACTGTTGTGCAGTTAAATGGGCCCATTTCGAGACCCGTTTCGATAATCCGAGCCGTTCACATTTTAGAATATATTAAGTAGAATATACCTGCAAAACATTAAGTTAATTGGATATCGTTTACCCTTTCATCTATCACATTTGTATTAATTTTAGTACTTTAAATCACAATTATTATTTATTTTTGTAGATACAAATGTGAGTGGATGAATGGATAAACGATAGCCGATTAACTTGATTTTTTACAAGTATGTTCTACTTGATGTATTTTAAAATGTGAACGATTCGGATTATATAAATGAATTCCAAAATTGGCCCATTTAACTGCATAACAGTGACTATTGTGCACCTCACACAACAACCGCCCCAAATTCGTACCAGTGAGGTAGCATGATGATGTGGCATTTAAAATTAATAAAGGTCAAGAAAATTAAGAGGATTATGTTGGTGAAGAAAATAGATGGAAATGCTACTATAAACGGGAAACGGGATATTGTCATGCCTAAGGCACATCAGTTATTGCTGTGTTCTTTGTGGGAGGTTGTTCCGATTATTTTTTGATGATCTGAACTACTGTGCTCTTTGTGGGAGGTCGTCCTAAATGTTTTTCGATGATCTGAATCGTTCATATTGTAGGGTTCGTCAATAATATTTTTAACGTAAAAAATCAAATTAATTGGATATTCATAACCCCATGATTAGATCCTAATTGTTTTTAAAAATTTATGAAAATAATATTAACCATTAATTTTTTTAAAAACAAATGTGTTTAGATTATAGGGTTACAGATATCTAATCAACTTAATTTTTGGTATGAATGATTTACTCAACGAACCTAACAATATGAATAATTATAATCACCAAAAAACAGTTGAGACGATCTACCACAAAGAGCACAATAACAACTATTGTGCCTTAGGCAAAATAGTATCCCCGTGTCCTCACTCGTACATTCACCATGCCACGGCAGCATCATGTCAATAGGTAATTTAAAAAAATTAGCTCCAACAATTATATACAAAAGTAACATAATATAAAATTTTAATTTTTTTTTTTGTCACTCATAAGTTTTTAAATAGAGTTTTGAAAAGAATTTGATTATGAGTTTTGAAAAAAAAAAAAATTAAATTGAGTTTTGAATTATATTTTTAATTATGAATTTTGAAATTTATTTATTTTATTCAAATCATGAATTGTGTTTTAAATAAAAGGCAACCTTAACAATTTTCAAAATTTGAAAAACTATTTTTAAAATTTACAATAAAAAAATATTTGAAATTTTATAATACTTTTTAAAAATTAATCTTTTAAAATCGATTATAAAAAGTAAACCAAACGACCCAAAACATTGGACATGATTTTCGTAAAAAAATGTGGCGATTGCCAATTCCATATTAATAAACATGCCAACGAAATGGCGGTGTGAAAGCGTGTGCAAAATAGAAGCTTCCATATTTGGTGGACGAGAGAGACAGGAGCTCTGTTTTTTTGTAGAATGTCAAATCTACACAAAAATCTCTTTCTAAATCACTGAGAAAAGGGAGTATGGAAAGAACAAGTGATATTGAGATTCAGCAGCAAATCAAATCTCTACATAATTCTCTCAACTCGAGCCTTTCCTTTCCTTGGCCAATTTTCCATGGCAGCATGGTTTTTAAGTATGGGTTTTCCTTCCTGATATCTTCCCATGAAGTTTTGACAGAATATGTTCTATCTGAAGAACACCAAACCACCATCTATCTATCAGGTATATATCAGTCAGTGGTTTCAGAGAATTTGAAGTATTTCACAATAATCTATGCCCATGTTTGTTTTTGTTAGTCTGAACTTGGGAATTTAGAATTCTATCAGATTTTTCAATTAAACTAATTATTCTCAACTTCTGGTTTAGTCTTCTCCCACTTTATATCCTACACCATTTTGGGATATGACCGATGTGGATTATTCTTTGTTTTGTGGTCTAGGTCACTTCCAAATCTCTGAGCTTGAATACTTTCCTGATAGTTCAGGAAGAGTCATTAGGTAGTGCCCACTTAAGCTATGAGCTCCACATAAGATGAACAAATCATTTGCAAATGTCACATGATATAAATCCAGCTCTAAATCTGTCATTGCTAATTCTCCATTACTGTAAAGTATTGAGTCCTTAGATTACTAACGCTCTGTTTGGTTCATGAATGTGGGTAGGATTTGGAAATAGAAAGTGAAAAAGCGAGTGAAATGTGAATGAAATATAATTATATTTCACCTACAGCCTAAAAGAAAGGGACAGTGGGAAATTTGGATCCCCTTGTATCAGACTTCTTTCACCTTTAAAATATCCCTCCAAGGCTCCTTTGATTCATAATTAGTACCCTATATCTAGCTTGCTTTTGTTTGTCCAAGTGAACCAAAATTCCTTATATCATTCATATGATTCATCTGAATATCATCAAGTCAATTATTGAACTCTTGAACATAAGCTTCATCAATCCCAGTCCCACCAAATCTTTCTGAGTATTTTCTCACTATATTATAGTCCCCAAGTTGTATCCAAGGTTGATCATTTATTAACTTGTAAATGAATTGAGACCAGACCACAGCTTTCTTCTCCCTTTAGCCTTTTTAAAGCCATATAGAACAAAAACATAAAATATATTCCTGTTTTGAGCGTTCTCTATTTTGCAACTAATCAGTTGTTCTGATTTATGGAAATTATCTTCCTAGCTTCAGCTCCATTGGCAATCTCCATAGCAATATTCTCTTGTTCCTTCAATTTCAACAGAAGCCGATTCAATTACGTCAATAATATTCACAGATTGTTGTAAAAATCCAGAGGATTTTTCAGCTTGAGATCTCATTGACTCATTTGTTTATCAATCTCTGTTTGATGATCCTCAATTCTGTCAAAAGTTCCAAATTTCATACTATTGAGGGAAACACCAGTCCCTAGCTCATAAGTCTTCCACTTTTAAGCTTCTGAAACCTTTAGAATATAGTTCTGCTTCTATGATACTGGAAATTCAATCTCAAAACACGTTACAAGATTGAGATTCTCCATAGAAACAGCAAAGATGAAGAGGAATTTGAGAAAGGAGGCGAATCACACAAACAATTTCAAAGGGAGAGAAAACCTAGAGTGAGAGGCTCTTAAATTTTATTCCATCCATAACTCACTCCTTTGCTCCTAACTACTGGAATGCCATCTAATTCTGAGTAAAAAGGTTCATATTTTGCATCCCATAGTTCATTCAGAAACAAACTGCCTCTCTGATGTTTGTTATGAAGCTCTGCAAATTACTAGATATCTTTATAATTTATGAAATTTATTAAGTACTATTTGTTAATGTCCTTTAATTTTGTGTAAGCTATTGATTTTTGCCTCCCAAAATTCTATTCATACCATGCTATACGTGACCTTTAGATATTTTACCCATTGAAAATCAAAGGGAGATTTAAGGTTAACATAATGCCTTCTAGGTTGGCTGAGCATAAGTCCCCACAAAGATCTCTGGTACATTTTTGGTTTTTTGAAATTTTTGGGCTGAAGAATATCAACCGTGGTGGCCATGGATGCAGTGTTGGTTGTGCTTGTGGTCAGATGTTAGGGATGATGGTTGGTTGAACTTGAGGGGAAAATGAACGAAAAAAATAAACAAATAAAAAAAAAAATAAAAAAGAAGAGGAGAAATGAACGGTAGTTACACATAGTTCTTCTATAGTTACGTATGCCTAAATAGCTTTTGAGCTACATGTGCTGGTCCCTTTTAACGGTTTCTGTTAGTTATGCACATCAGTCCAAACCAAAGTATAATAAGGGTATTATGTGTATATTTTTGGAATTTGGATTACGCGGGTGGTTATGTGTTGTTGAACCAAACAACAAGAGGTAAAATGTAATTAACTCTCATCATTTATAATAATATTTTATTTTTGTTTGCTTATAAAGGGGCCACTGTCCTGACTAATAGCAATACTACGAACCCACCCTTATCAACCCAGAATTTTCTCAGAAAAAGAAATCAATGGCTTAGATTCATTTCATATGTGGACTCCACACTTCATCAATTCAATCTGCACCACACAAACACATTCAAGATAAATTTGGGATTCATAAGGGTGGGTTCCTAGCATTTTCCCCTGAATAAAGGCAGCAATCCATGCCTAGGAGGAGCAATCAAGGTCTCTTGAGCCAGAAATGTATCCAGTTGATCTGAAGAAATGCCTCTGTCCTCGCTCCAAAAACTACATAAATTTCCTTCGCAAGAGGTTTTAGAAACGTGACTTTCATTGAGGATGTAAAAGTTACTGCCCTTGGATTTTGTCACAATAATGCAATCAGTCCAATTTTATAGTTTTCTACTGATAAATGCATCTAAGTAGTTGTGTTAAATACATTATCATATTGCATAGTGTTGAAATTTTACCTTTTTTTCTTATGACAAGGGAAAAGAAGGAAATAGATGAATCATGGAAGGTAGGAGTTTGGAACGAGGGCGATAAAAGGCTAAACTGAGGTAGAATGGTAAAGCACTAGGCTGCAGAAAATGGGTACCAGAAGCAGAAATGCTCGTGCTTTTCTTTCATTCCCATTGCTCCTATATTTATTGACAATTCCATCAGAATGTGCAACTGATACGTTAATTCAGTCCCAACCTATCTCAGTAGGTCAAACTCTCATCTCTGCAGGCAAAGTTTTTGAGTTAGGCTTCTTCAGTCCTGGTAATTCTGGTAAACGATACATTGGGTTATGGTATAAGAACATAACTGTCCGCAAAATTGTGTGGGTAGCAAACAGAGAGAACCCACTTCCAGCCACAGACTCTGCCTCAAGTCTCGTGATTGGCAGCGACGGAAATCTGAGACTATTAGATGGCATGAGGAACACTTTCTGGTCTACAAATGTCTCTCTCCCGTCTAATAACACAGTTGCAGTGCTTTTGGACAAGGGTGACTTTGTTCTTAAAGATAATGTCTCGGGATTTATCGCATGGGAAAGCTTTAACTATCCTTGTGATACATTTTTGGCTGGCATGATGATAGGACTGAACACCAAAACAGGAGAGAAACACTTCCTGTCTTCTTGGGAGACTGATAACGACCCGTCACCTGGAACTTTTGTGCTTGGACTTACACCAGAGACACCACCACAACTTTTCCTTTGGAACAGTTCCAAGCCTTATTGGAGAGGTGGTCCATGGGATGGATGGACGTTCATAGGTATACCAAACATTGGACAGGGCTACGTCAATGGACTCATCCTTATATCAGATAATCAGCAGGGAACTGCGTATCTCACATTCACCACGTATAACATCTCTTATGTCATAATGAATGTCCTTGCGCCAACAGGAACTTTGAAGACGATGAATTGGGATGAAGAAAAAAATGACTGGTTTGTTAGTTGGATGGCAGTAGTGAATCCATGTGACATTTACGGAGTATGTGGACCTTTTGGGGTTTGCAGCAACAAGAATGGGTCTCCAATTTGTGAGTGCTTGAAAGGGTTTGTACAAAAATCAACAGAGGATTGGAGCAAAGGAAATTGGACAGGTGGGTGTGTGAGGCGAACAGAACTGCTATGCCAAAAGAAGATTAGCAGCCTAGCAAATGAAACAGCTCAAAATGATGGCTTTTGGAAGCTGAGTGGGTTGAAGCTTCCGGATCATTTTGAATATTTGTTCAATAAGGATTACTCAGGTTGCCAGCAGTGGTGTGTGAGTAACTGTTCCTGTGTGGCGTATGCATATGTGACTGGAATTGCATGTATGGTTTGGGCTGGAGACCTCGTGGATGTTCAGCAGTTTTCAATAGGCGGGAAAGACCTTTTCCTCCGCCTTGCAAATTCAGAGATGGGTAAAGTTAATTATGCCAAAATAATATTGCAAGTTCTTTGATATATATATATATATATATTCTTCATTTTCTCTTTAATTTCCAGGTAGAGATCATAAGAGAAGAGAAACAAACACCATTATCTTTACGACAATTTCTGGGGTTATCCTTGTGGGTGCCTTCATGTTTGGTTTGCACAGGTGGAGAGCTAAAAGAGGTAAGAAGTCTACTGTTCGTTACATTGATTACATTGAACAACTAATCATTGATTACTTCATGTTTTAGTAAATCAACTGTGAAATATTCATTTCTTCCTGAAAGTTACACTAAAGGCGTGGCCATTTATTTTTGATTTCATACATAAATAGAGAGAGTAAATCAACAGTGATATCTATTTGTCCCTCAAATTTACACTAAACATGTGGTCATCAATTTTGCTTTTCCCTTCAAAGTACAATGCTCATTGTTCTTCCATTGATTCGGAAAGAAGCGTGCTTTATTAATTTGGAAAATCAGTTTTTGTTGAAACATTTCTATTCTCTTGGTCTTGATGCCACATATGAGAAGGGTAATGGATTTTCTGTTCTGTGGTTCAACCTTGAACATCAGTAAAGAGAAGAAAAAGGGTAAAAGGTATTTTGAGAAACAATAGGAAGAGAATATTTTAAAAAATTTAAGCTTCCAAACACAAAAATAATGAAGAAAAAAGAAAATAATTTCTTATCAGCCATTGCTATGTCATAAATTGGAGGATGAAGCATTATGAGAAATCTAAATAATTTTCTTTTCTATGGACTATGGCTCAATATTAAACATCAGTAAAGAGAGAAAAGAGGATGAAGCACTATGATGTGGCTGATAGAAAGGACACCTTGCAAGACCATGTCATACATGGGGAGCCATCAGAGCTACCAATGATTGACTTTGATAAAATAACAGTTGCTACCGACAACTTCAGCCAAACAAACAAACTTGGGGAAGGAGGATTTGGACCAGTTTATAAGGTAATTTTATTCTATTCTTTTTAAGTATATGATGCAAAGGTGACATATATCCATGTACTAAATAATAAAATGGTGGACCACAGGGAAAGTTGGAAGATGGGCAAGAAGTGGCAGTGAAAAGACTATCAAGGCATTCAGGACAAGGCACAGAAGAGTTCAAGAATGAGATCTTATTGATCTCCAAACTGCAGCATAGGAATCTTGTTAGGCTCTTGGGTTGCTGCATTGAAGGGGAAGAGAAGTTATTGGTTTACGAGTACATGACAAACAAAAGCTTGGACATGTTTCTCTTCGGTTGGTTTTACTTGGGACTTTTCTCCTTACATGTCATGTTTATGTGTCGATTGACAATTCCATTTGGAATTTTGTATGCTATGTTGACTAATCTCTTTATGTTTAGCCATGAAAAAATGTAGATTTTCTCATTCTCCCCTGCAGTTTCAAGTAGGAGTGCACCATACTTGAAATATTCCTTAAATAACTATCTTAACTGGGCACATTTTATTTCCACTCTCCACTCAAATATAGTTGTTTAGAAAAAAAAAGAAGGCACGTTGTAGATAATGCATCAGTAAAAAAAAAAATAAAAAAAATAAAATAATTCAAACATCAAAATTCTCATCTTTCTTCCTGTAATTTTTCACAGCTCATTCAATATTGTTACTACAACTATGTCTAGCACTGAGGACAAATTTTAAAACTTGTTTTCATCTTTGTTCTCTTATCCTAATTGGCGGTAAAATGTATGGAAAGGACCGACGTTGATGAATGCATCTTTTTGACTGTCATGCTTCTGGTTAGATGAAACGAAAAGGGTGCAGCTTGATTGGGCTAAACGCTTCCACATTATTCAGGGTATTGCTAGAGGGATTCTTTATCTCCATCGCGATTCTTGTTTAAGGGTTATTCACAGAGATTTGAAGGCCAGCAATATTCTCTTGGATGATGACATGAATCCAAAAATTTCTGACTTTGGTTTAGCACGGACTTTCCGAGTGACACAAGAACTGGCAAACACTCACAGGGTGGTCGGAACATTGTAAGGATCCTTTCTTTTCTTCAATAGATTCTGCTCATATCTTCCAATTATTTTCCCTACTGATGCCGTGATGTATGATATAGAACATTTTATGTTTGAAATATTACGAGTGAAAGTATAATTTTAGTAACCACTAATAGGGATCATCACAACAGGCTTACTGCTTAGCAAATGGGCCAAAAACATATTTCTTGGATTGGGATGGAGATTAGAGTTACAAATGAGGCTAAGTTGTTAGATTATTTTATTTCATTAGATTAGTATTATTTTTTGTTCATCCTCTAGGTGCCTCATCTAGTGAAAAAACTATGGAGTATGTTCCAACTTCCAACCTATTCAAGAACATTTGAATGATAAGTTACAGCAGCAACATGGGACTGTAATATAGCATCGAAAAACACCTTTACTTTTTATTGCCAATGAAAACCCTTTCACATTAAGCAAATCCTTTTTTTAATTTTTTCTTTTCTTTTTTAAGAATATTACATTACATTTAATTATTGGAAGCCTTATAATCTTGGGTGAGCATAAGTGTAACAATTTCCAATCAAATGTAGTGGCTACATGTCTCCTGAGTATGCAATGGGAGGGTTATTTTCAGAGAAGTCGGATGTCTTTAGCTTTGGTGTTTTGCTGCTAGAGATTGTCAGTGGCATGAGGAATACCAGTTTCCATTATTATGAAAAATATGTGAACCTCCTGGGTTATGTAAGTGCACTAATTTGACCTTTACATGCTTTCAAACACTGTCAGTATCATCACCATTATATGTGGTTCTAATAATTTCATATACATATGTGAAACTGTTCTAGGCATGGCAATTGTGCAACGAAAACAGGGCATCAGACATAATGGATAAAGTAATGGCCGACTCATGTTCCGAGTCAGAAGTAATGAGATGCATATGTATTGGCCTTCTTTGTGTTCAGGACCACGTAGCTGATAGGCCAACCATGTCAGCTGTGGTTCTCATGTTGAGCAGTGAAATAGATCTTCCACACCCAAAACAACCTACATTTACCGTTCAAAGCTTGTCGGACGCTGATCTTCGGTCACAACGCAGCAAATGTTCTTTGAATGGGGTCTCTATATCGGTTATTGAAGGGCGATGACCAGTTAACAAGCAAATCATGTATACATCGCTCATTGTATGTTGGTATTATTGTACAATGGCAACAACAAATATAGCAAGGAATATAATATTACAAGTAAAGGTTGAAATCAATGTTTTGCCATTTCATAAGCTTGGCTTGCCATATCTTGATTCAATGAACCTGTCTTTGAGATTGTGATTTTGATATTTTTTGTTGGTCTGTCTCGTCTATCTTCCATTTTTTTTCCTTTCTGTTTTGATTGGATTATTTAGTCTTGGAAATTCAACATGTAAAAATGTTGAAATGTAGTGCTACAAAAGTTTGGTACAAGCATTCACATGGGTTGCCAATAGAGAAAATATCTAAAGTGAAGCTGGAGTATTAACACTCGAAAAACAAACTCCGTTTGGTTTAGAGTTTTAAAAATAGTTTTGAGTTCAATCTTCTTTGTTTTTTTTTTTTTTTTTTGGCTTTTAGTGGATTATTTTAATATTTTACCCGATGCATATTTACCCTTTAATTGTGAAAACTATATAAATATATCTTTCGGAGGTGGTTTGCATGAGTTAAAAGTGATACATTTTATATTTGAGGACGTCAAGATGACAGACAACATGATATTCACTAATAACTGAGGGAGTCTTGATGTAACTAATACAACTTCAAAAAATAAATAAATAAAAAAAAGATAAATTATATCACAGTTTTAGTATAGGTCACGATCTTCATCGACCCTAGAAATTAAATTGAATTTTCAACACATCTTCAACATATGGGAATACATATGGACAACAAATGTTCAAAATAGTGGTTTTTATGTCTGATGATTCTGATTTTTATTTTATTTATTCTTTTATTTACTCTCTTTTTTTTTTATTTTTTTATTTTTTTTTTATTTTATGAAGGGTTTGAAGTTAGTTGTCAATGGTGGTTGGATTTAGGGATGGGAAGGTTGTTTGATTTTAAGTATATAATATCCAAATATGAAACACGAGTATTTAGATATAGGAAATGTTTGGATATAAGGATGATGAAAGGTGAAGTAGATATTTTTGTACAAAATAAGAACATCATCTATTTTCATTTGTTAATGGAGAATGGGTTGAAATGATTTTGTAATTTATATCTTAAAGTCGATTGTTGTAATTATGTCAAAATTATGAACTGATTATAGAAGTCACTGTAATTTATCCAAAAGTTATTTCATGAAGCCGTGTTTTAAAAACACAATATTCCAACAAATCTAGATGTTAAATTTCCAGGACCAAAGAAACCAATCAAACAGACAATCCCTAATCAATTGGTCTTGTATAATGTAGTTGGCTGCAGATCAGAATCAAGAAAAAGACTAGAAGACAGACCAACAATAAATACTTGTTGGGGTTCTGAAACTAATACCCAACTCATAATCTCAAAAGATCATCTGTGTTACATAACAATGATTTCAAACTTTAGTTATAATAGTATACTCCTATATTTGTAGATGTCATTGTACAATAATACCAACATACTTATGAAGACATATACATGATTTGTTAATAGGTCATTGCCCTTCAATAATTGATAGAGACCTCATTCAGAGAACATATTTTGTTGCTTTTTGACCAAAGATCACCGTCCGACAAGCTTTGAACACTAAATTCGGGCTGTTTTAGTTGTGGAAGATCCATTTCATTACTCAACATGAGAAGCACAACTGACATGGTTAGTCTATCTTGAGCGTGGTCTTGAACACAAAGAAGGCCAATACGTATGCATCTCATTACTTCTGACTCAGAACATGAGTTGGCCAACACTTCATCCATTATGTCTGATGCCCTGTTTTCGTTGCACAATTGCCATGCCTAGAATAGCTCCACATGCTCCATATAAGAAATTAGTAGAAGCACGTATTATGGTGGTAACTGATAGTGTTTGAAATCAAGTAAAGATAAAATTAGTGCACTTACATAACCAAGGAGGTTCAAATATTTTTGATGATACTGAAAACAAGAATTCCTCAGTTCACTGACATGACAATCTCTAGTAGCAAAACTCCAAAACAAAAGACATCTGACTTCTTGGAAAATAACCCTTTCATTGCATATTCAGGAGACATATAACCACTTCATTTGATTGAAAATTGTTACATTTATACTTACCCGAGATTATAAGATGTTCAATAAATAAATGTAAGGTAACTATTCTAAATATATATATAGGAAAAAAAATTATTTACTGAATCACATATATTGTTTTAAAAATAAAAAATAAAAACAAGAAAAAAGAAGCAAACAACGAAATTTATATGAAACAAGATGATTGCACTCTAGTGGTTTGCTTGTTTTGCAGTAACCGGTTAGCCATCTACGTAAATGTACTAATAGAAGAGGGGCTTCTGCTTTCTATAATGTTGACATCATTCTTTTCGATCTGTTTTGTCTGCAAAATGTTGACATAGGAACATAGTAATTGAGGTAAGAAGTTAAGATAACCAATCGGAGGGAGGGGTGGACATACAGAGAAGATTGAGAAAAGAGAGAGCACTCCTGCTATTTAGCAATAGCCAATAGATGTGTTTGCTTTGTTTTGTTTTGTTTTTTCTTTTCATTATCACCAATCATGGCATGAGCGGTTCATTGTAGAATAATTGGTAATAATTTTTTATGCCTTGCAAGACTTTGTGGTAGAATAATTGAGATGCAAATGTGAAAGGGTTTTCATTGCCAATAAAAAGTAAAGGTGATGCTCGATGCTATATATTAACATGGACAGTCCCATGGTGCTGCTGGTGCTGCTGTAGCTTATTGTTAAAATATTGTTGAATAGGATTGAACATAATACAGTCTTTTCACTAGACGAGACACCTTGAGGATGAAAAAAAACCTTGAGGATGAAAAAAAATAGTACTTATCTATTGAAACGAATATAATCTAACTACTTAGCCTTATTTGTAACTCTAGTCTCCATCCCAATCCAAGATATATTTTAAGCCCATTTGTAAAGCATTGAGCCTGTTGTGATCTGTACTCGTCGCTACTTCCATTATACTTTCATTTGTACTATTTCAAACATGAAATGTTCCATATCATATAGAATTGCATTAGTAGAAAAATAGCTAGCAAAGGTGAGCAGAATCTATTGAAGGCAAGAAAGGGTACTTACAATGTTCACACCACCCAGTGAGTGTTTGTTGGTTCTTGTGTAACTTAAAAAGTTCGCGCTAGCCCAAAGTCCGAAATTTTTGGATTCATGTCATCAACCAAGAGAATATTGCTGGCCTTAAAATCTCTATGAATAACCCTTAAACAAGAATCGGGATGGAGATAAAGAAGCCCTCTAGCAATACCTTGAATAATGTGGAAGCGTTTAGCCCAATCAAGCTGCACCCTTTCCGTTGCATCTAACCAGAAGCATGACAGTCAAAAAGATGCATTCATCAAGGTCAGTCCTTTCCATGCAATTTATCACCACGGAGGACAAGAGAGAAATGATGAACACAAGTTTTAACACTTCTTTCCTTTGTGCTAGACATATAGTTGTACTAACAGTATTGAATGACAATGAGCTATGAACAATTTATTGGAAGAAAGATGAGACTGTAAATTTTGATGTTTGATAAAAAATTTTTTGCTAATGCTTTCTCTACAACATGCCTTCTTTTTTTCCCTATTGAAGAGCCAATAAGACAATTCCGTGGTGAAGATGGGGTTGGAAGAGGCACATAAAGGTTGGTTCAATTAAGCGTTGTGGATTCGCTAGGTAATTGAGAGTATACCTGTGTAATTCCTTTAAATCTTCTTAGTGGATTGTTCTTGTGGCTGTTGCCCGTGGTTTTTTGATCACAGTTGGAGGTGTCCAATTGTGGTTTTTTCCACGTTAAATCACTGTGTCTCTTTGTCTTGTTTGTCTTGATTGTTTGATTGAGATTGTTATATTCTGCTTAAAATTGATACATAATCACAAATCAACATCTAGGGGATTTCTAGATTTTTCACCAATAAAAAAGTAAAGGTGTTGTTCGATGCTATATATTAACATGGACAGTCCCATGGTGCTGCTGGTGCTGCTGTAGCTTATTGTTAAAATATTGTTGAATAGGATTGAACATAATACAGTCTTTTCACTAGACGAGACACCTTGAGGATGAAAAAAAACCTTGAGGATGAAAAAAAATATTACTTATCTATTGAAACGAATATAATCTAACTACTTAACCTTATTTGTAACTCTAGTCTCCATCCCAATCCAAGATATATTTTAAGCCCATTTGTAAAGCATTGAGCCTGTTGTGATCTGTACTCGTCCCTACTTCCATTATACATTTGTACTATTTCAAACATGAAATGTTCCATATCATATAGAATTGCATCAGTAGAAAAATAGCTGGCAAAGGTGAGCAGAATCTATTGAAGGCAAGAAAGGGTACTTACAATGTTCCCACCACCCAGTGAGTGTTTGCTGGTTCTTGTGTAACTTAAAAAGTTCGCGCTAGCCCAAAGTTCGAAATTTTTGGATTCATGTCATCAACCAAGAGAATATTGCTGGCCTTAAAATCTCTATGAATAACCCTTAAACAAGAATCAGGATGGAGATAAAGAAGCCCTCTAGCAATACCTTGAATAATGTGGAAGCGTTTAGCCCAATCAAGCTGCACCCTTTCCGTTGCATCTAACCAGAAGCATGACAGTCAAAAAGATGCATTCATCAAGGTCAGTCCTTTCCATGCAATTTATCACCATGGAGGACAAGAGAGAAATGATGAACACAAGTTTTAACACTTCTTTCCTTTGTGCTAGACATATAGTTGTACTAATAGTATTGAATGACAATGAGCTATGAACAATTTATAGGGAGAAAGATGAGACTGTAAAATTTTGATGTTTGATATTAAAAAATTTGCTAATGCTTTCTCTACAACATGCCTTCTTTTTTTCCCTATTGAAGAGCCAATCTATGCATAAACCTGATACGGAAATTTTGTTGTTTATTTTTATTAATTTTACAAGGAAAAAAGTGCCAAGTAAAACCAATCAAAGAGAAAAGTGTCCAAGCTTTTGTTTGTCATGTACTCATAAACCAATTGCTTTTCTTCCCCTTCAATGCAGCAACCCAAGAGCCTAACAAGATTCATGTGCTGAAGTTTGGAGATCGATGTGATGTCTAAAACACCTATGTGGTTCGTAATTCAAAATATATTGAATTGCAACAATTCCCAATCAATTAA